TCTTTCTGTGGTTCTTGGGCCCACGCACTGCGTTATGGACTGTCTGGTGTCTTGCCAGTATCATGGGTTGTCTTAGTCCAGAGACAGCTCTTTTATTGTCTAAACACTGGGCATCTTCCACCTCCTGGAGGCCCTCAAGCCCCAACCCTCAAGCTGTTCGCTCCATTGGTCTCCTGCTTAGGCTGACTCTGTCTTCTGAACTTGATCTTCAGACTCCTTGATTTTGGCTTGACCCCTTTTGGGGACGCCCCTTCCTTCCTATTGGTGGTGTAGTTCCATTAATTCTGAAACCTGATGTGGCCATGGTCCTCTGCCACATTCTGCAACCGCTCTTGAGTGTTGCTTGGTTTCCTCAGAGCATCAGGCCTGACAGTCCTGCCAGGGGCTGCCCTTGGGGTCCCTGAGTGAATTTAATAATTCATTTATTAGGAACCTGCTATGTTTTAGGCCCTGGAAATATAGTAATTGCCTAAGGCAGGTGTAAGATGCAGTTTATCAAGTGCTCACACAAAGGAATTATTATTATTATTTTTGGTGGGGAGGTGGTTTACCAAGGACTGAACTCAGGGGCACTGGACCACTGAGTTATATCCCCACCCCTATTTTGTATTTTATTTAGAGACAAGGTCTTGCTGAGTTACTTAGTGTCTTGCTTTTGCTAAGGCTGGCTTTGAACTCATGATCTTCCTGCCTCAGCCTCCCTAGCTGCTGGGATTACAGTCATGCACCACTGCGCCCAGCACAAAGGAACTCTTGTTTACATATTGAGGTAGAAAGGAACTTAATTCTGTAAAAGCATTTGTCAAGAAGCCTGACCTCATCTGTAGGGAGCTGATGCTTTGAACTGAGGTTTGAAGAGCGAGAAGGAATTAATTATGTAGGAGTGAGGATGGGGGGAAGAAAAGCACCCACCAGGCAGAAGGACCTGCTTGTGCAAAGGCCCTGAGGTAGGATACAGCATAGTACTTTCAAAAACTGAAAGGTTCATGTGACTGGAGCACAGACAAGGAGGGAGTGTGAGAGTCCCAGATCATGACAGATTTTGTAGATCTAACAGGGAGTTTTATTTAAATTTTTAGTTAAAAATTGGAAATTTCTTTATTTTAAGTTTATGTCTAGTTAGACAAACTCCAGACTTTTTTCTTCTTTAATTGTCAACTATAATATACATACAGAAAACTATACATATACCCACAATTTAGCAAGTACTTTACTTATAAAGCAAATTATTGTTTCCAACAGCTAGAAGAGTCATAGTGTACATTTCAGCAGGGGGTGCCATGGTCAGACCTGATAGGATGGTGCAGTGGGGTGGCAACTGCATCTTAGTAAGGCCAAATAGAAGCTTGGAGAGTATGCTGGCAGAAGAGGAGAAGCAAAAGGGACCTGCTGGAAGTATCATGTTTGTCATCCAGGGCCCTAGGGTTGTGCTGGAGGGGGTAGGTGGATGAAGGTGCTCATCTGGGAGAATGGCTGCAACAGAGTAGACAGTAGGGTGGTGAGGAGCTAGAGGTGAGCTTGTGTGTTGTTCAGGCATGCCCAGGCTGGGGCATCTCTCAGATCCCCCAGTGGAGCTATTCTGGGTAGCAGACAGCTGAGGCAAGTGAGGATCAAAGGTGGCTCTGGAAAGGCTCCCAGTGCCTTGGCTTCTCCTTCTCCCCCTTAGTCCCCTCCTGGCTGCTGGCACCTGGGCCATGACTGTGTCTTTAAGAGGGTGGCTCCAGGGCCTCTTGTGTCTGTCCTTCCTGCCGCTGACGTCAGGGATGGGCAGGACTGAGGAGGCGATTTGCTTTTCTTTTCCTTGAAAGGGGAGGAGATTGAAACTGAGTGGCCTCTCTTGAAAAGGGGAAATTCCAGGCATGCAGGAGGCCCTAGGGTGAAGGCGGAGGCTAACATGGGGTGAGCTTGGGCGCCATTCTTTAGAGACTGAGACAGGAAACAGAGCTTGCTCCAGAACTGACGCTGGCTCTGCCTGGGCATGTCATTGATTGTGTATGAATGTGGGTTCCTACATTCCTGCCTCTAGTTGGGCAGGGAGACAGCTATGGTCTGATGGTCCTGTCTTAAGGGCTTGTACTGGCCACTTGATGGTGATGGCTCCCATCCTGGGAGCTTGCCTGGGTGCTTTTGAGCCTAGAGTGTGCAGAGCCTTTTCTTTGGCTGGGGAGCCCAGCCATACTGAGAGTGTGTTGCTCCTCTGGGCTGTGAACTGGAAGCCCATGTTGGGGTAGGGTGGGACCCACACCCTCCCTGGCCTCCAAGGTGGCACATGCCCTGTAGCTAACAAAGCTATTTCCAACTTTGAATGTACATGGTGCATTTATTTACCAAGCATTTACCTTCTATAAGAATACTTTGGGGTCCCTGGGAACATGGGAGGATAGTAAGGGGCCCTGTCTATCTTTGGAAGTCTGTTTTGGTGAACTTCCTACCCTGCTTTTTCACAGGGCAAGCCCTCATTCTGTGGGCACCTGGGTTGGTCAGGGAAGTCTCTTACAGAGACCACTGCTCTGCCCACCCTGCCCCTCCAAATCATCCTGTCTACTTTTAGTTTTCTCATCTAGGAAGCAACCATGCCACAGTACCTAGCTTGTGGCACGTTCCTGATAGCCATCTGCTTTGTGGTTGCAGGGGCCGGGGTGGTGATGGACAAGGTGTATATGCAGGAGGCTGAGGGTAAGGTGCAGAGGACCTGAGAGGGGAGCAGAGGACAGACCCTGGGCTAGGAGCTTTACAGAGCTCCTAGCTCACAAATAACCCCATTTTACATGTGAGGAAACTGACACTGAGACAGGTTCAACTACACAACTAGGAAGTTTCGGTATCTATATTGCTTAGAGTCTTTTTTGGTAAGAGGGATGTTCCTTGGAGCAGTTGAGGTATGGACTGCTTCTCCTGGGAGGGGGAGGGGCCTTGGGTCATGACCAGCTCTTTGGCAGGTTTGGAGCAACTGTAGCCATCGGCCTCACCATCTTTGTGCTCTCTGTTGTCACCATCATCGTCTGCTTCACCTGCTCCTGCTGCTGTTTGTACAAGATGTGCCGCCGACCACGTCGTAAGCATGCCCCACACCCCACCCCTCATCCTACCGGGACCCTTCTTCTGTGCAGGTCCAGATTCCTGGATAGGCAAGGGCAGCTGACCAGAGCCCTACTTTGGCCAAGCTGGAGGGATGAGGGGCAAGCCAACCCGCAAGACCTGGGGAACTGGAGTGTCTTAAATGGGATTCTCTTTGCAGCCGTTGTGACCACCACCACTGCCACCACTGTGGTGCATGCGCCTTACCCTCAGCCTCCAAGTGTGCCCCCCAGCTATCCTGGACCAACATACCAGGGCTACCATCCCATGCCCCCGCAGCCAGGGATGCCAGCAGCACCCTACCCGACACAGTACCCACCACCCTATCCAGCCCAGCCCGTGGGCCCACCAGCCTACCATGAGACCTTAGCTGGTGAGTACCACTGCAAATTCTGTGACTCTGCCTGCCCCTCAGCTCATGCCTGTGCCCCCGTATCCCAGGGTATGTCATTGGATGTTTCTGTCCCTTTCTGCTAGCCAGCCCATTTGCATTATAGCCCACTGTGCCACAGCTAACTAATGTCCTCTTTACTTTCAGGAGGTGCAGCCATGCCATACCCTGCCAGCCAGCCTCCTTATAACCCGGCCTACATGGATCCCCCAAAGGCAGCCCCCTGAGTTTGCCTCTCTAGCTGCCACTTGATTATGTTGTGTGTGAGTGGTGTGCAGGCACAGTTCTTTACTGCCCTGTGTGTGGTGTGTGTGTCCTGTCTAGACACGTGGCTTCCTCTGATACTGACCAGGTAGGGAACAATCCTTGCCAGAGTAGGCTGGGACCAAACTTTTGCTTCCTCACTTGAAATCATGCTTCCTGAAATCTCAAGCATATTTAAAAAATGGGGTAGGTCTTTTCCAACTCACTCCAGGGTTACCAGGTTCAGTCTGTCACATTAGGATTGCAATTTTTATGGGCACCATGGGCCATGTATTCTGGTTTTAGGAATGGCCAGTTGCTGCTCAAAATCATGGCTTTTTCCTAGGGTTTGGGTTACCCTTTGCAGAGCCTGTGCTGTGAAGCAGGCAAGTAGACAAAGTATGGGATCTGGCTGAAGCTCAGTGCTTTGGGTAGGTGTCCCTGGAGTGGGTGCCATACTCAGTGGAGGTTGGTCGGCTCCTGATGTCAACACACCCCAGGCACAGTCCCATCTACCTGACAGCTCTCTATCTGGACTGTCCTTCCATCCTTCCTGCAGGGCCAGATGCACTCATGATTCCTACCACCAGTGGGGAAGCTGTCCCCCTTGCTGCCCGGCCCCTGCCACAGGTGGGCAAGGGGGCCTTTCCACCAACACACTCAGGTATCCTTCCTGCAGTGTTTTTTACTTTTAGCCAAATATTTTGCCTGTTTTCTGTTTTAAGATGTGTGATAGTTGATGTGAAGCTGAAATGTATGGAGAGAAATTGATCCACAACCTAACCTCTGATACTCTGATTCCCCTGGTCCTAGCCTGATAGGAATATCCAACTCATATACCCCAATCTATAGTTGTCCTAGCAGTAGGGACACCAGGGCCAAGGGACCATCTGGACCAAAGGTGAGGGTGGGGGGCTTCGGTGGCAGCTCTGACCCAGATACAAATACCTCGGTGTACCCTGCCCCTGTTAATGTTTGACCAGGTCTGTTTTAGCTTTCAATCTGTTAATGTGTTTCTAAGAGTCTAGAGTCTGCACCCTTGTTTATAATAAAAACAAATATTCAGAGCTGCCATCTCCTTTTTTTTTCAGAGCCTTAGTAACTGGGATTGAGCCTTAGGCTGAGTATTGTTTCCATTCACTATTTGGATATATGTATTTTTCCTACTTTTACTGGGCTCAAAGGTTTGCTTATTTTGTGAAGAGAGTAAGGGACAAGGACTGCTCCCCAGGTCCCTAGTACAGGTAGAGGCCCCAGCTGCCAAGGAAGCTAGGAGGCAAATGACTACTCAGTGTTGTGGGGGGTCTTTATTAGATTTTCCTTCTCAATCTACTGCCCAGGTGTGGCCAGGAATAGTCCATACAATGTGGCTATCGCCAAGGTGAGGAAGGCCAGCAGGCCCAGAGGGGCCAGCAGCCCCTCCCGGGGTGGGATTCCAGGGACTGTTGTTGAAGTAACAGCCTTGGGTCTTCTGCTTTCACCAATGCTGGGACTAGCATTCTTGGTAGTGGCTAAGGGTGTAGTGGCTGTGACCGCAGACCGTTTGGGGTTGGTCCCAGAAGAGGCCATGACGGCATACATAGGCCTGATGGTGCGAAAGGGCTTGGCGTGAGTATCCACCCACTGCAGCAGGGCCTTTGGCTTCCACTGACATATGCTAAGCAGAGCTAAAACATCACCCTCAGCCGTGTGTGAGTCCACTGGGGCCTGCCCATATAGGCGGGTATAGATACTGCCCAGGCTGTAGCTCTTCCTTGGGCCATGCTCTGAGGGGCTGCTAGCTTGTTCCAAGGCCTTCAGGGCAGCAATGCTGTCCACACAGAAAGCACCATCCAGAATACTGGCAAGACCCAGCATAGCCAGCTCTGCCTGGAGCAGGGGGAAGTCGTAGCGGTCACCGTTGTGTGCCACCAGGCACCAAGGCTGTGGCTGGCGCTGCAGGAAGGCTTGGAGCAGGTTGGCCAGGTTGTTATCAAAGCGTTGACGCCCATGTGCTGCGAGCACAGCTGTGCTCAGACCTGTGATCTCGCTGGCTGCAGGACTGCAGGCTTTCCCAGGAGCCACGCACAGTGAAAGCTTGTCTGCCACGCGTGGTGGCAGGGGCACTGTGGGTGATAACCCTTGAGAGGTGAGAGTATTCTCCAGGGCACATCTGTGGACAGCCAGCAGGCACAACTCCGTGACCTTGGGTTGGGAGAATGGCAGGCCAGTGGCCTCCAGGTCCAAGAAGATGAGGGTCTGCATGGGACCAGGAGGTGGGGCCTGTGAGCCCATGCTGGGGTAGGTACCTGCTGCTGTGCCTGGGAAGGAGCATGAGGTTGGAGGTGGAGCATGTGAATGCAAGGGAAAGATCTGAAGTGAGCAGGGTCTGGGGGCAAGGGTGGGAGGAGAGTGGGCATAAGTACATTGTCAGGCACTGTCTGAGAGCTCTAGAGCCCATTTTCAGGGCAGGAAGTTGGTGAGGGTGGGGTAGCTTCCTTAGAGGATGACTGTACTTTTGGGGAAGGTTCCTTCTTCCTCACATGGGTTTGGTCCCGACCTTAGTGCCCACCTAGTACAATGTGGGGGAAACCCATGACATTCTTGCCCTGCCCCATCCCCTTGGGGGTCCACACTTACCGGAATAGGGAGGCAGCAGTGACTAGAAAGAGTCAGGCACGCACACTCTTGCTGGCCCTGCTGTTGGCAGCAGTGGCGGGAAGTGAAGCTGGGTTTGGGCCCGCCTGCGAGCCTGCCTCGTGAGCAAGGCCCGCCCTGCTCATCAGCTTGCCTAGTCTGTGCCTCTTTTGCTAAAACCCCTCCCTCCCCAGGCATCCCAGAAGGTCTGCTCAGATCCACAGCTGTGGGCCTGCTGGCTGACACTGTGCACGGGGAGGGGGGGGCCCTCATGCTGCTGAGAGCCCACAGAGAAAACAGCTGCCTCAGCTATCTCCAGGTGCCAGGCTAGTTCCAGGTCTCAAGCAATGCTGTGAGCCCCTGCCATGGCCCTTTTGTGCCTAGTCCTTGGCCTACTTTCCCAGGTTTAGTTCTGGCCTAGGGCAGCCTCCTATCTGCCACACAATGGTTTCTCCCCACGGCCCCAGCCAAAGCAATGACTCAGGACAATTCCACCAACAGGCCAGGGCTTTCCTCAAGGCAGATTAGTTACCATGGGGACCGTCTCAGTTCCAGCCAGGGAGATGGTGGGGGAGGCATTAAGTCTTCCTGGGTCCCCGTCCAGTTCCTTCCCTCCCACTCAGCCAAGGAGATCAGAGAAACAACGCATTCTCACATTCTCGGCAACTGCCGGTCATTGCTTTTAATCAGAGGATGTGGTGTGTGAGGAAAGCAGCAGTGCTGGTGCCCCCTTGTGGCAGGATGCTCAGGGCCTCAGCCACAGTCCATTTCAGGGTCCTCCATGTCTGTCTCCGTGGCACAGAGGTCATCCAGGGCTGCCTCTGAGCCAAAAGGAAGAGGGAGGGTTCAATGGTGAAGGCCTGAAGGTGCTAGGACCTGGGGGAAGTCCCACCTGTCCTCCCCCAGCACCTGCAGGAACTAACCAGTCCCTTCCATGCCCAGGCCTTGCTCCCTCAGCTATTATGAGCAAAGTGATAACAAAGGCAATTCAGATCAGGATATTCTGGAAAAACCGTGGCTCTGCCAGGTCAACTCAACAAATATGGGCAAAGGGCAGCCCAATATTTTCAGAAGAACCACAGCATGCAGGGCAGGAGGTCCTCAGAATAGGAATCTGACTTGCTCACAAGGATCAGGGAGAACCCACACGTGCGTGGGCTTATTGGCTCACCTTCACAGTCGGTCACGTCAGGAAGCCCTCGAATCAGCATGCTGACCCCTGGCATAACCTGGTCATACTGATGCAGGACTTCCACACAGTGCACAGTAAAGAGCTTGTCCTTCTGGGACAGACTGTGCAGGAGCAACACTGTGTCTCGCAGACACCGCACTGTCCGCTTCTGCTGGTCAGTCTTTGGGAGCCCCCCTGCCCTTTGCACGGTCAGCCACTGTCTGTGCAGCATCACTGTGAGAACTCTAACCACCTGGAGTGAGAAAGTGTGCAGACTGAGGTTTCCAACCTTTCTGTGCCCTAACACTCTGTTCAGCCTAGCTGCCCCAGGGGAGCAGGGCTCTAATTGGGACTTGTGCAAGGTTCCTTTATCCACAAACAGAGCTGCCATGTTGTTGGCACTGGATACTCACCTCTACATTGCATTGACAGTCAGAGCCAGTGACTGTGGGGGGAGGGCTATACACACCCAGTTTGGCCAGGAGCCACACTGCCTGGAATAAAAAAAGATTCCATTTTATCCTGTCAGAATAAGACCCTTGTCACTGTGCAAGGGCTCTTTCAGGCATCTCCTACAAGAGCTCTAGCTGCTTTGGCAACTGCTTGTCTGTACAAATGGGGTCTTAGAAGCAGTGGTATGGGGTTTCCAGGCTAGACTCAGGACTGGCACCTGAATTTCACCAATAACCCGCCTGCCTCCAGACTCATTTCCAGCCACCAGGCCCCAAAGCCAGGATAGCATCAATTATCACGCAACTCAGCTGTGTCCCATTACAACCTGTATTGCATCTGTGTGGGGAGTCCCTAAATGAGTTGCTTGATAAGCTGCAAGCTGCTTGATAAAAACTCTTGTTACCAAAAAGAATTACAGTCCCCTTTCTCTCCAGAGAGGAGGGGAGAATTTGTGGTCTTTTAAGATGGGGTGATGAGCAATCTCCATAAGGTTCCCTGTTTTACCTCTTGTTCCAGCTGAAGCCACTGTGTCTCTGAAGCCACCTTATCAGGCCTTGATGTGATGTACATGTACAGCAGCAGGAGGAGGCAGCTTTCTGAAAAGGATACCCCTATCTCACTCAGGGTCCCCTTTCTGCAGAAGCCCTCAGGAGGCCCCTGTCCCTGCCCCAACCCCTCCCTCCCTCTGTAAGAGTGCAGGCCCACCTTTACCAGAGTGGGAACAGAGTTGAGGTGCAAGGCTATCATGGTCCACTAGGAGGGAGAGCAGCTGGACAGCCAGCAGCACACAAGGCAGGGGTGTCTCTGGGCTGAGGCACCGTGGCAGCACTGGCAACACACACTGGAACCTGAAAGATGGGCCCAAAGAAATGTGACACTCCTTAAAAGGAGATTGGTTCAAATGCTGCTCCCTCTCACACTGACTACTTACTATGAAGCTGTCTCATGTGAACGAGTGGACACTAACCTTTACTGAAGACTGCTATGGCTCAGAGATGACAGCCCTCACCTTGCACAGCAACACCCAGTAAATGGGAGAGGATTCCCTGGACCTGGGATGCCTGGCCTCTACAAGCTCCTGGTCTCTTCCCTGCCTGTGCTCCCAAATAGGGATGCAGGGCATAACTTGGTAAATTGCTGCTTACCACCACAGGACTCACCAGGACTCTAGAAGTGACAAAAAATGGACCTGGCTATGGCTGGATGTTATAAGGCCACTCACAGAGCAAGGAAGACCATTTTCTCTTCAGTAAACACTGGTCACCTCTGCTGTCACTGTGGGGTGTGCATGGGTAAGAGGCTCTGGGTATACTTTCTCCCAGGTCTTAGGGGGAAAGGGATAGCTATGACCAAGGGACCAAAGAACCAAGTCTCAAGGCAACTGCTGCTATTTGCTCAATCGTCCAGCCTGCAAGAGCATAACGGGGAACTGGCCTGGTGATTGGGGAGCCACCATCTAAAACACTCTGTGGGTTAGACTATATAATATCTTAGCATGAAGATCAAGAATATCCCTCAGTATGCCACTATTTGGGTGAACTCATTTTATGGCATGTCCTGTAAGCATGGAAAAAGTTGCATTTTCTTTAGTTGCCAGGGACCCTGGAACTTTGTGGGAAACTGGAACTTAACCTGGTTACCTGCTCTCATTGTTCAGCTGTAAGTGGCCCTTAATTAGTCACTAAGGCTCCTGAAAGTATCTGCAAGAACAATTCACCTTTGTATAAAACACAGTGGTTTCCAAGTTATTTCTTGCTAGAACTGGGAACTTTTTAAAAATGAAATTTCATGTATAGCCTTTGTATACAAGAGAAGTCATGCTGTTCTAGTTAAAACTGGGAATGAGCTAGGTGCAGTAGATCACAAATGTAATCCCAGTGACTCGGGAGGTTGGGCAGCAGGATTGCAAAATTCAACTTGGTGAGATCTTTCAAAAATAAAAAAAAGGCTGAGCTGGGAGTAGTGGTGCATTCCTGTAATCCCAATATCTCAGGGGGCTGAGGTGGGGGATCCCAAGTTTGAGGTCAATCTCAGCAACTTAGTGAGGCCCTGTCTCAAAATATAAAATCAAAAGATCTGGGGATTGGGGCTGGGATTGTGGCTCAGTGGTAGAGTGCTTGCCTAGCACACATAAGGCATTTGGTTCAAACCTCAGCACCACATAAAAATGAAATAAAGATATTGTGTCCACCTACAACTAAAAAAAGAAAAAAAAAAGATCTGGGGATGTAGTTCAGTAGTAAAGCACTCCTGGGTTCTATCCCCAGTACAGCAAAACAAATACCGACCTCCCCGCCCAAACAACAAAACAAACAGTAAAAAACACCAAAATAAAAACCCCTTCTAACTCGGAACCCCAAACTACAATATAGTGAAAAGACAAGGGACAAACTGCTTTGAAGACTGGGTAGGTAAAGATTGGTAGCAGGAAAGACGGCAAGTTTCCTGGCTATTTGTACTGTATCACATACTATGTTCAAACCCTGATAGCACCCCCTGCCCTAGTTTTCTCTGTGGCAAAAAGAGAGTGGTGTGTTAGTGGGGTTCAACTTGAGCATGGAAGTATGAGGATTTTTTTTTTTTTTTTAGTGCTGGGGACTGAACCAAGGGTGTTTTACCACTGAGCTATATACCTAGTCCCTTTTATTTTTTGAGACAGGGATTCACTAAGTTGCTGAGGCTGGCCTTGAACTCAGTGATCTTCCTGCCTCAGTCTCCTAAGTCACTGGGATTAGAGGCATGCCCCACCAGGCCTAGTTAAGCATGGAGAATTCTGAAGAGAAGCACTGATTGGGAGATGTGTCAGAGAGTTAGGCAATGGCTCAGGACAGTAGTTGGTTTAGAACCAACCCCAGAACACTCCCTATGGGATTTTTCAGACAAGTTTTCCTCTCTCACCATAAGGTTTATTCAATAATTACTGACTGCTTAGAGTGAGCCAGGTTCTGTGTGAAGCAGAGGATGCAGGGCCATGTATGTCACATGAACCAGTGATTGGAGGGCATCTGTATCTGGCCTATACTGACTATCCATTAAATTGCTATTTTTGAATACCCCTGGGGACAAGTTCAACAGGAATGGAATGGGGTGCATCTACCAAGAGAAATGGTATGAACTTGGTTTCTAGAATTCATTCACTTAATATACATGAAAAAGCAAATAGTCACTGTGAATTGGCTCTTGTGTAATGATTCTGTCCCCTACTGTGTTGCCCATATTGTGCTGTAGTTGTATCCAACTCTTGAGCAGCACCTTTGGAATGGATCAGATCAACCAGAAAATATTCACATGGAAACTAGGATCCAGAAGTGTTTTTAGGGAACAGGCATGCTGAGCTCAGAGATGAGAAAACTTAAAGTTTATGTCCAGTCAGTGGAATCATTCCAACACAAGCGCTGGCATCTTGGAAGAGTACTATGAGGGAGACTGGACAATGGTGGGTTGAATGGTGTTTATATCTGCTCCCATCTCACAGCTCTGGACTCTCAAGTTAGGAATTTTTTTTTGTACCAGGGATTGAATCCAGTGGCACTTAACCACTGAGCCACATCCCCAGCCCTTTTTTAATATTTTCTTTACAGACAAGAGTTTCTCTGAGTTACTTAGGGCCTCACTAAGTTGCTAAGGCTGGTTTTGAACTCATGATCGTCCTACCTCAGCCTCCCTAGCTGCTGGGATTATAGGGCGTGTGGCTCTAAGTTAGGAATTTATGATAACACTGTAAGCTAGGTTCATTATACTTCCAATTCTAACACAGCCTATGAGAGGCAAGCAACAAGTAACTCAAGTTAGAGGTAGAAACAATGATGAGAGGCAGATACTCAGCAAGGTCAGCTTGTGGCTGCAGACCTTCCCCATACCCTCTGCTTCCTTAGGGAAATTCAACAAACTTAAACATGTTGTGCCACATAGGCTTCACCTGTTCCATTATCTCAGGTTCAGGGCCTCTTGGTTTAGCCTTTGTCCTGGGACAGGATACTCTTCCACAGTGGCTAACAGCTTCCTTATCACATGTGTCTTTTGCTTACCTGCAGTCTAGAATTAAACCACACAAACCCCACTTATTTGGTTATCTGACACGTGATCCCACTTCTTAACACCTCAGAACTATCTGCACCAAGCAGAGCTGAGTAGTGGGATAAGTGAAGATGTAAGCAATGTACAAGGGCCAAGAGGTCAGAGAAGACACATAAAATCATGCCTCCCATGCTGCTTTATACCTGGGCAACAAATCAGAGGAAGCGTTTTCAGCTAATTTCACCAAAACTTTGAGGCACTGGCTCGGGACACTGATGTGAAAGTGACCTGTTGCTGCAGAAGAGAAAGCCAATAAGTGAAGTAGCATCTTCAATAGTGGATGCAGTCCTTGGTCGTCCGCAACTTCCTTGGGGACTGAGATTGTATCTCCACAACTCTGTCTGTGAACCAGGCTCTCATTTCCTTCCCAAGCAGCAGAGTCTGCCTCAACTCCTGATAGTAAGAGGCAGACAACTGCTCTGCTGTGGCATACCAGGTGCTGAAGAATGCTAAGTGAAGCTGCAGAGAAACCTTCCAAGTTGCTAACTGAGTCATCAGGGTTGGCCTCTACCCCAGAGCTCAAGCAGGAGGTATGTGTTGGAGAGTCCCCAGGTGCTCCACTCCTCTTAGCAGCTGCCAAATCCTGCAGAGCCTGGCAATACAAGCCAATGAAGAACTGGATAAGGGGGAGAAGGTGCACGGCTCCAGGAAGCTGGCAGAGTGGGAAGGCCATTTTATCTCCTTCTTTGTCTCCATCACATAAGCCTTGATTCCTGGCAATCAGATTCAGTCCTGTGAATGCCAGATTCTGTGCTTCTCTCAGGGCCAAGGGGCAAAACGATCCACTTCGAGAATTTGTAGCTCTGAGGCCTGAAATCCCAGTCAAGGTACTGGCAACAAACAAAACAAAATAGATAAGGTCAAGGGCCTCAAATAGCCTGCCTGCCAAATTCTCCAGTCTCTCTGCACATCCCATAGATCTCCCAATGCTGGCCAGGGCCAGATAGGGACTGGACTGACTTCCTAGAGACAAGTTTTTCAGGAGTATCATGCTTACCTGCCAAACCCTGGTGGCTGCAAGAGGGTGCTAGTAGGAGTTTCAGAACAACTGCTTAGGAGGTGACAAAGACTTAGGGATGACCCTGGGATCAAAGGCTGCTTCAGGAGCAGATTTATCAAAATGGAACCTGTAGGAGAAAACAAGATAACCTAGAAGGTTCTGACATATGTGAGACCTTTTCTATGGCTTCAGAAGGAAAAGATGAGAACTCTTTGGATGCCAAGTGTCTTCTAAGCTGACACAAAGCTCTGTAAGATGCAGAAGGCTCTGGGATGTACCTGCTCTTTGCCCCCCCAACCCCTTTATTTTTGTGTGTGTACCAGGGATTGAATTCAGAGGCCTTCGACCACTGCCACATTCCCAGCCCTATTTTGTATTTTATTTAGAGACAGGGTCTCAATGAGATGCTTAGAGCCTTGCTTTTGCTGATGCTAGCTTTGAACTTGCAATCCTCCTGTCTCAGTCTCCTGAGCTGTTGGGATTACAGGTGTGTACCACTGTATTTGGCTTCTTTGCCCTTTTCTTTTTAGAGATGAAGTCTTGCTGTGCTGCTCAGGTTAAACTCCTGGGCTCAAGCAATCATCCTGCCTCTGTTTACAAGTAGCTAGGACAACAGGTATGCACCACTGCACCAAGCTTGCCCTTTCCTTTCTTTTTTTTTCAATTAATTAATTCATTTTGTGGTTCTAGGGATTGAACCCCAGTGGTGCTCTACCATTGAGCTACATCCTCAGTCCTTTTTGGAGTTGTAGAGATAAAAGATGTGCACCACTGTGCCTAGTTGCCCTTTCCATTTTATAAAGTCATAGTCTCCTACTTGCCTGAACTCTGCAGGTCTGCCTGGGGCATGGATTCTCAGAGAGCCAGACAGTTTACAGGCAATTATACTGTGTGTGACAGAAGATGATAAGAGTCATGTAAGTCCCTGCAGGAAAAGCAGGAATTTTTGGTACCTTGAGTCTTTGACTTTTGCATCCAGTTATCAGCAAAACTTTTCTGTACCTCTTCTTGCATTTTGGGATTACCTCTCAGGCTGTGGGTCTTATTATCTGAAACTAGAAAAAATGAGAATCAAAAGTTGAGCACAAAAGCACAGGCATTATCTGCAACTCTGACATGCAATGAATTTCAAACACAATCAGGTTGTTCTACTTCTTTAACCTTGGATAAAGAAAGACTCAAAGCAGCTCAAGGTCCCTCACATCTTTTGCCTTTCTCATGCAAAACAGGAATTCATAAAAGAAAATCAAGCTGTTTGCCTTACTTCAAAATGAAATAATAAGGTGAAAACAGTAACCACTAACATTTATACAGGGCTAAGTAAGGGTCAGACACTGCTCTAAGAGTTTTAAACATATTAGCTCCTTTGCTTCTCAAAGCAATCCTACCAGGAGGTGTTATCATTCACTATTTAGATATAGGAAAGTTGAGACACAGAGGTTAAGGCACTTGCCCACATCAGCTAAGCCAGTAAGCAATGTGGATGGGATCTATATCCAGACTATTAGGCTCTACTGTCTGCTTGTAATACTATCCTGCAGTACCCTATTAGTTGCTAGACACCAAAAATATGAGTGGTCTGCAGTTTCTCAGGAGTGATGTGATGGTCAGTGATTTGAAAAGGCTGAATTATACAGTCATCTAGCATGGCAGAATCTCAGAGTGAAAACTATTAATGTAGATGATCTTTCTCTAGACAGTGGCAGCATTCCCTGTCTAGAGTGGCTATACAACTCATGGCTGGACTATAAAAGGAACACAGGTCCCTGCAATCTAGCTATGTTTCTGGTATGGTCCATGTAAAATGACTGTGATGGTTTCAAAAGATGGTCACAGCGGCTGAGGATGTAGCTCAGTTTAATGGTAGAGTGCACAGCAGATGAAGAAACAAACAGACAAAAATAAACAAGAGCCAGGTGCAGTGGCACATGCCAGTAATCCTAGCTGCTTGGGAGGCTGAGACAGAAGGATTCAAGTTTGAGACCAGCCTGGGTGACTTAGGAGACCCTGTCTCCAAATGGAAAATAAAAAAGGGCTGGTAGAGTGCCCCTGGGTTCAATCACCAGTACGGGAGTGATGATGACCAAGACAGACAAACAATCAATGTGCCTACAAATTCTTTGACACACCTCCCTTCAAACAGTGCAGCCTCTTTTCCTTCCCACTGAATGTGCCAGATCCTCATTAACTTGCTTTTGACAGAGAATGTGGCAAAAGTGATAGTATGTGACTTTTGAGACTAGGCCATAAAAAGAAAAGCTTTTTGCTGGATCTCTCTGAGTTTGCTGGCTCTAGAGGAAGCCATCTATCATGTTATGAGGCCACCCAGTAGCCCTATGGAAAGGGATTATGTTGTCAGCCATGTGAAAGAGCCACCTCGAGAAGGTTTCAGTGATTCTAGTCCCTATAGAGCTAAGCCATCCTCATTATATCCCACCTGAATTATAACCCACAGAAATCAGGAGAAAATAAATAATTGTTGTTTAAGGTTGGGTAGTCAATTAAACCATAATAGATGACTAATAGACTGACTTACCCTCTCTGCCCACAAGAGACTTGTATCCTGGCTCTGTCTGGCAAGGGTGGGGAAGGGACATGTTAGCATTAAAAGACTCCTTTGTAGGGAAAGATGTTTTTCCAAACTGTGGAGAATATGCTTCTGGCTTTATAACCACAGAAGGGCTTTTCCTAGGACTGGAAAAAGTTAACTGTGAAAGCAAAGAAATGATCTACTAAAATCACTTAAAATACCTGGTTAGAAAACTTTCAACAAAATTTAAACTTTTCATGTCTAGGTGTTTGACCAGACTGCATCTGTTATTTATGTGTCATTCTTTGTCCAGAAACACAGTATAAAATGTTCATTTGGTTATTTTGATCTAAATTACTGAAAAAGTATTTCATTTATTTTCATATTCTCCTAATCACCCAAAAATATTGGTCATGATTCCTTTACCATTTCCAATTCCACTGAAACTTTTCAACATGAAACAACCTATTTTTTAAAAAATTTATTTTTTAGTTGTAGTTGGACACAATATCTTTATTTTATTTTTATGTGGTGCTGAGGATTGAACCCAGGGCCTCACATGTGCTAGGCGAGCACTCTACCGCTGAGCCACAATCCCAGCCCCCACCCCCACCCCCCCTTTTTTTTTTTTGGACACCACGGACTGGATCCAAGGGGTGCTCAATCACTAAGCCACATCCTTAGCCCTTTTTTATTTTGAGACAGAGTCTCATCAGGTTGCTTACAGTTTTGCTAAGTTGCTGAGGCTGGCTTTAAACCTGACATCCTCCTGCCTCAGCCTGACAAGCTGCTGGGATTACAGGCCTGTGCCACCATACCCAGCAAAGAAGCTAATTTTTAATAGGGACTATTAGAAAATGTGTTGAAAACTGAGCAAGGTGTTCAGAGCCAACATCTTCATATCAGAGAAGCAGTCTTAGCCCTCTGATCTGAGGTTTTCCTGTTGTTAGCTGGGTTTTCCTGTTGTCAGCTCTCTTGTCTCACCTGAATTTATATAAGGCAAGAAGTTCAATTATATTCCATGCCTATTATGAGCAAAGGCAGAATATTTAATACCAGAAAAAGTTACTGTGACTGACACTGTTAAGTTTCAAGACTGATACGACAGTGCCAGACTGCTTTGCCAGGCAAAGGGCAGGATACAATTAAGCTGAGCACATCTGCTCAGCAAAGGAGGGGGCTGATAGACAAAGGTTCCAAAGAAGCAAATCAGCAGAAATATTCTAAAGAACTAGCATTGAAATATACTCATGCTTGGGCAAAACCTGTTATGTTAAATAAATAAATTATATTGAAATGAAGACTGGCCCATCCCACAAATTTGCTAATTATTTTTCTAGTCTCAGGTATTGTGTTTATAATGTATGATTCAGAGAAAGTATTTCCAGATGGTGGGCCTTTATGCTGTGATACCTGAAACCATTCAGCCTGATCCAAACCATCTTTGAATTCTTTACAAAAGAGGACCTCTGACCAGGTGGCAGGATCTCAATGGCCTTTATTTAGGACCAGTCTGAGAGAATTCTGTAGACTTTTTACTAAATAATGCAAAACTTAATAATTTCTCCAGCACTATCCTTACCTGGCATGGGAAACAGAAGAAACAGAAAGTTTATTTGCTCGTTCACTGCTCTGAAGCCTTGTCCTTAATTCATTCATTTCTGCATCTTTAAACTGGAGTTCAGACTGCAATGATTGGAGCTGAAAGACAAAGGAAATATACTTGCAATGGCACCACCACATTCACAAAAATATCTCTGGGTTTCAAAATCCTAAGCTAGAAAAAGAAATACAATGAAAAATACATATGAAAGTTTGCTATGATACAAATGTCCTAAAATATCAAACATTAGCCTTCTTCCTAAAAGACAGCACGATACTTTTAACTATTGTGAAGAAAGTTTGTGAGGGTTTAAATCTGGTCCCACCATTTACTTAACCTGGCTGAATCTGTAACATAAATACTGTCTTCTTCATACTTGGGAGGATCAAGAACAATGAACATCCTCTCAGCACAGAACTTGAGAGGATGCCATATCTTAGCGGTAACATATTTCTTTATTTGATAGAGTCTTGCTATGTTGCCCAAGCTGGCCTTAATCTCACTATCCTGCTGCTTCAGCCTCACAAACAGCTGGGATTATAGGTGTGTGACACCATACCTGACTGTTATATTTTCATCAATATAGTGGTCACAATTCCAGGTCTTCATGAAAGTCTTAGCAGAGTATCTGGAAGTTTTACCTAAATCCTGTATGCATATGTGTGTGTGTGTGTGTATTTACGCTGTGATACCTCAAACTATTCAGCCTGATCCAAACCACCACTGAATTCTTCACAAAAGAGGACCTATACACACATACATACATATACAGAGGAAAGAAAAAGAGAGGCAGGGGGTGGGGTGGTGGTGGGGGAGACACCAGATGATCTGCCTCCAGGCCTGTAGCCAAACAGTATTCTCCACATACACACTGTACCAGACACAGCATCAGTAACAGTAAGTGCAGAAATGTTTGAATCTCTTAATACCCTTTCTGGGGCTGGGTTGTGGCTCAGCAGTAGATCGCTCGCCTGGCACGTGGCAGGCCCTGGGTTCGATCCTCAGCACCACAGAAAGAAAGAAAGAAAGAAAGAAAGAAAGAAAGAAAGAAAGAAAGAAAGGTATTGACAACTACAACTAACAAATAAATAAAAATAAATATTTAAAAAAATTACCCTTTCTGGTTATTTTCTGAAACAGATAAATGAGTCATGAGGTCATCACTTGTATGTGATGATGCCTGGATTCAAATTCTAGTTTGGCTGACTGCAAATTCCTTGCTCTTCTCATTTACATTAAAACTCAACTACTGTGCTGGGCACATGTGTGTATTTAAAGTTTGCTGAATGAAGTAATGGCAGAATAAGACCCCATGTCCTTTAGGCTAAAGCACTGGGAAGTGATGAAAGAAAGTGGTGGTATATACTGGTTACCTACTATTTTGTTTTTCTTTCCAGAACAGCATCTCCCTTTCCCTGAGATACAATCATTTCCCTATCTTAGACCATGTGATTTGAATGGGAGCTGTAATCTCTTTGGTATGGCAACTGGTCCAGGGATAGACACCCAACTCAAGTTAGACAAATCGGAGCCTTTCTCAGAATTTTAACACTTGAGATGAGGAAGCTCAAGTCTGAACTGTGCTGTAGAGTTATGAAATAGGAGTAGGAGCTCAGGAGCTACTGGAGAACAAACCTTCTATCATAAGGATGGAACCTGTCTACAGCATAGAGAATAAAAACAGGAGTGAGATGAAATCTCAGCACACTTTTTATTTGCATTTCCCTGACTGATCCTGGTAAGGTTTAAGTCATTTGAGGCCCCAGTACACCCCTGTCTTCCAAAACTTAGTTATGGAGTCCAGTACATTTCCTTTTGGACTAAGCTATATCAACTGAGTTTCTGATTACAAAGAACCCTTAATTAAGCATGTTTCTAGAAATTCTAAGCTAGTGATTTATTCCTGGCTACCACAGCAAACTCAAGTTCTTTTTCAACCCATAAGCAGACTCTAGAAGAAAAGTGAATGGCAATTTGCTAAAAGCAGAAAGTATTTAAGAAAAACAAATAACTAAACAGATATTTCTTGAAAGAAGAAATACAAGAGGCCAACAATTATATGAAAAAATGTTTAGCTGGGTGTGGTGGTATACGCCTATAATCCCAGTGATTCAGGAGACTGAGAGCAGGATCACAAGTTCAAAGCTAGCTTCAGCAACTTAGGCCCTAAGTAGCTTAGCAAGACCCTTTCTCTAAATAAAAAATAAAAAGGGCTAGGGATGTGGCTCAGTGGTTAAGTGCCCCCGTGTTCAATTCCCAGTACCAGAAAAAATTTAAAAAATGTTCAACATCTTTAGCAATCAAGAAAATGCAAATTAAAATTATGCTGAGATTTTATCTCACTCCTGTTGGAACGGCAATCACCAAGAACACAAATAATAAATGCTGGTGAGGATGTGGGGAAAAGAAGCATTTACAAACTGTTCGTGGGATTGTAAATTAATACAATCACTATGGAAAGCCCATGTGGAGGTCTGGGGATGTGGCTCAAGCGGTATCGTGCTCACCTGGCATGAATGCGGCCCAGGTTCGATCCTCAGCACCACATACAAACAAAGATGTTGTGTCCACCAAAAACTAAACAATAAATATTAAAAAATTCTCTCTCTCTTTAAAAAAAAAAAAGAAAGCCCATGTGGAGGTTCCTCAAAAGACCAGAAATGAAGGGGCTGAGGTTGTGGCTCAGTGGTAGAGTGCTCATCTAGCATGAGCAAGGCCCTGGGTTCGATCCTCAGCACCACATAAAAATTAACAAATAAAATAAAGGTACTGTGTCCAATTACAAGTAAAAAATAAATTTTAAAAAATCTTTGGGCTGGGGATGTGGCTCAAGCGGTAGCCCGCTCGCCTAGCATGTGTGCGGCCCGGGTTCGATCCTTAGCACCACATACAAACAAAGATGTTGTGTCCTCCGAAAACTAAAAAAATAAATATTAAACAAAATTCTCTCTCTCTCTCTTAAAAAAAAAAAGACCAGAAATGGAACCATGTGACCTAGACATACCTTGGTATTTATCCAAAAACATTAAAGTCATCATATTATAGCAATACATTCATGCTCAGGTTTATAGCAGCACAATTCACAATAGTCAAATTATGGAATCAGCTTAGGTGTTAGTCAACTGATAAATGGAAAAAGAAATGTGGTACATATATACAATGGAGTTTCATTCAGCCATAAAAATGAGCAAAATTATGTCATTAGTAGGAAAATGAATGGAACTTGAGAGAATTATGACAAGTGAAATAAGCCAGACTCAGCAAGTCTTGCTGTGTCTTCTCTCATATGTAAAAATTAGAGAGAAAAAAGGAAAAAAAAAAAAAAAGGTGAGATAGGGGATTTCATGATAATAAAAGGGAGATCAGAAGAGTAGAGGAGTGGTTTAGGAGGGAAGGAAGAGAAGAGGGAAAGGGGAGATACTAGGGAATGAAACTGACCAAATTTATGTCACGTGCATGTGTGAATATGTAACAATGAATCTCACCATTATGTATAATTATAATGGACCAATAAAAACAAAGTAAAAATGAAAACAAGCATAAAAGAAACTGTTGAAGCCTCCTTGGAAGATTTATAGGCAACACTGATCATTGCTTTTAAAGGAACTCAAGAGCAGCAAAGCTGCTGTGTCCGTAACATGCAAAACAAATGCTCTAAGTCACCTTTTTGGAGAACTCCTTTTCTTTGTCACTGAGTGCTTGGGTTTTCTCTTGCTCAAGAATGAAATGTGATCTTCTCTGTTCTTCTAGAATGAATTCCGTTTGATGCAGTGAGTCCCGCAAAATTTTAATTTCCCCATTTTTAATGAGGACTTCTTCTTCCATTGCCTTCAGCTGTAAATACCAGATTAATAGCAGATATTTAGCAAGAATAGCTTAGGGGCTGAGGTTGTGGCTCAGCAGTAGAGTGCTTGCCTAGCACATTCGAGAACCTGGGTTCGATCCTTAGCACCCACATAAATATAAATAAAATAAAGGTATTGTGTCCAACTGCAACTAAAAACTAAATATATTAAAAAAAAAGAATAGCTTAAAGACATACTTGTCACTAACACATGCAGAATCTTTGGGCTTTAACAGGCATTTAACAACCTTTGTCACAAATGTCCCACAACTAAAATGCCACATTATGTTTCTAGTTCTCTTAGGACCTACAGAACATGAAAGATGTCTTTCTTGTTTTCTCACAAAACTGCTAACAAAATAGCAACCTTTATGATGTTGCTATTTTGTTAGCAGTTTTGTGAGAAAATATATACTATAAATTCATCTCAGTGCTCTCACAGTGTATATCTCTTTTTGGATCTGGTGTATAGTTTTATATATTTTTTTTCCATTCCCTTGCCTTGCTGTTGGAAATCTATTTAGTGTCTTTTAGTCTAAATTTTCTGGCTTTCTTTCCTCAACCATCTTTCATTTCATGGGGACAAAACTAGATGCTTGTTTTAAAACCTTTTTTTTTTGTTGCTGTTGAACTGGAGACTGAAACCAGGGCCTTCCACATGCCAGGCAAGTGCTCTACAAAGTTATATTTCTAGCCTTAAATTTTATTTTGAGACAGGGCAACACCAAGTTGTCTATGGTGGCCTGGAAATTTTGATCCTCTTGCCTCTGTCTTCCAAGTAGCCGGACTTATAGGTGTGTGCCATATCTGGCTGTTTTAAAATTTCATTTTAGCCGGTTGTGGTGGCACATGCCTATAATCCCAGCAGCTTGGGAGGCTGAGGCAGGATGATTGTGAGTTCAAAGCCAGCCTCAGCAACTTGGTTAGGCCCTAAGCAACTCAGTGAGACCCTGTCTCAAAGTAAAAATTCAAAAAAGGGCTGGGGATTTGGCTCAGTTGTTAAGTGGCCCTGGGTTTAAACCCTGGTACCAAACCAAACCAAACCAAACCAAATCCCACTATTTTTTTTTTGGTACCGGGGATTGAACCCAGGGGTACTCTACCACTAAGATACATCCCCAGCCCTTTTTATTTTTTGAGTCAGGATCTTCCTAGGTTTTCCAGGCTGGCCTTGAACCTGTGATATTCCTGTCTCAGGCACCTAAGTTGCTAGGGTTACAGGCATGTGCTACTGTATGATGAGCTCAGTGATAGAGCATCCCTGGGTTCAATTCCCTGTCCTGTAAGCAAGCAAGGAAACAACAAAAGAAATCCCACAAGTTGTCACTTACCTTTGCTTTAAGTTCTTTGTATTGTGTCTGAAGAACTTCTAATTCAAAATTATCTTTAACTGGAGCACTTTCTCTGTTTTTCCCTGAAGGATTTTTTGACATTCCATCTAATCTGCGGACCTTATGAACACCTATAAAAAACAATTCCTGTGTACATTTTTGGACTCAACATTTTCCTACTTTTGCTAGAAAATGCAGAATGGAATTGCTCTTGAAAGCAAAGTAGAAAAGATCTAGCAAGCAATATACATCAATATTTTCCAACCTAAGAAAATAATGTAAACATATAAATAATCCTTACAAAACAACAGACCCTGTACCCTCTCTCCAAAGCTCACTGAATTTCAAGGGTCTCATCTAAATGTTGAAAGGTACCACGGAGATTTTACAGGCCAGAATTGTGATTTACCGAGCACCTAGAATATGGCAGGTATGATGAGAGTCTCTAAAGATACAATGGTGATGAAAACGATCCTTACCATTACAGGACATTCAACAAATAAACACAGGAATAAATGTAAAATTACAACTATGATAAGAACCGCTAAGGACAAATACAAGAAAGCCTATAATAGTGGTATCTGACTCAAATGGAATGTCTAGAATGCTTCCCTAAGGAAGACCTTACTGAGCTGAGAGCTGAAGGACAAGCAAGAATTAAACAGATGAATGGAGATGGGGAATGGGTGGAAAGGACAATTAAATACAAGAAAAAGCATGTGCAGTTCCTATATTGTAAGGAAGCAGGGAAAATTCAAGAAAGTAAGAAAGGTTTGTTGTGGGCTGGGGATGTGGCTCAAGCGGTAGTGCGCTCGCCTGGCATGCGTGCGGCCCGTGTTCGATCCTCAGCACCACATACAAACAAAGATGTTGTGTCTGCCAAAAACTAAAAAAATAAATATTAAAATTCTCTCTTTAAAAAAAAAAAAAGAAAGGTTTGTTGTGGTTAGAAGCTAAAGAGAAGAGAGGAAAGAGAGAAAGGGTCAGACCATGTTGGTTGGGCTTTGCAGAGTGTTAAAAATTGGTCTCTATATTAGGAGTAGTGAGAAGTTATTAAAGGGTTTTCTTTCTCTCTTTTTAAGCTGCTGCATAGGGTTTACTCCAAAACAATGCAAACCTGCGTTGATTAAAGGGTTTTCAATATGGATACACATATGCGTCTGTCTGAAACATGTCCAGAACTGAGTTCTGAAAACATGACTCTGGCTGTGGTGTGAAGGGAGTCAAGACTGGAAATGATGAGTTAATTTAGTAGACTGCTGTTTAGGGTTAAGTATCATGGTGGCATAGATCAGAGTTGGTAGAAATGATGTGAATAGGATGAATACCAGAGATGAATAAAGAAGATAAAGTTGATAATAAGATTTAGAAAGGAGTTAGATGTAGCGTTCAGGACTGGGGAGAAATTGCCTTGTGCCACTGGATGGAGAGTGGTTCTAGTCATCTGTCACACGAACAGTTGGTCATCAGTGAGTACTTTCTAAATTTCTGTTTTGTCTGTGCTGCAGATGCCGAGGGCTGAATTTACAGGAAATAACTGTTTTTTTTTTTTTTTAATGATGTCTTAACTGTGAGGTACAGATGTTAGCTGACCTTAAGACCATTCTTTCTGGCAACCTGGCAGGATTTCACTCATTCCCCAACTAGAATATGATCTCCATTGTAATGGTTAATTTGAATTGTCAACTTGATTAGATTAAGAGATGCTGATGATTAAGAAGCTTCTGGGTGTGTCAAGGAATAATTGGCATGTGAGGTAGCCAACTGAAATGGAGACCCTCCTTAAGTATGGGCAGCACCCTTGAATAGAATGGTGGCTTGGATAGAATAAAAGTTGGAAGAAAAAGGAAGCAGCAACAGATGCAAGCTCAATTCCTCTCTTGACCAGGTTCTAGATTGCTGCAGGGATCCTCTGAGGATATCAGGACTCTCCCTTCTTCACTCAGTGATCCTCCAGAGTTTCCAGAGCCTTTGATCTCTGACTAGTACCCTCTAGCACTGTAGATCCCTCTTGTTCTGGGCCTTCAGCCTCTTGGACTGTGCAGCTACTTGTCCCTCCAGCTCTCCAAGCCTGCAAGCGGCCACTGTGTACTATTCAACTTCTGGTTGAGTAAGCCAACCTGATAAATCCCCTTTTTATAATTATACTTCCTGTTGATTCTATTCCTCTAGAAAACCCTAATGCATCCATGGAGGAAGGAATTTTTAACCTGTGTTCATTGCTAGGTCTGCTGTAATTCCTAACCATTGGGCACCTAGTGCAGAATATTGGTTGTACAAAATAATAAATCTTTCATGTCGTGCCTCTGCCAGGCCGCTCCTCTACTCATACCGCCAGAAGGAACAGTGGCTTCACAAAATTTAAACTCTGTCACTTGGGTTGTGATGGTTCTGACAGTGGTGGTAGTTGTGTTCTAAGGATCTCTGCTTAGAACCAAGAACCACATGGCCTAAACTTTAGAAAATAAATGTTAATCTAGCTGTCCACGCTTCATATCGGCTGTTTGATATTTTGCCCCCGCCCCAATCACAGTGTTTTTGGAACACAACCCCTGCTTAAATCAGGGTTTAAAAAGTAGAAAAGGCAGTATCAGTGCTAGACACAGGGGCAGCACTCGCTTCAGGATCCCGAAGCCACAGCCCTCAAGAGGTCAGGCGAGGTCTGCGCCACCCGCCGGGGAAAAGACCCTCAGGAGCACTCACTGGATACTTCCAGAACGGCGGCCGGGCATTGGCTCAGGGCCTGTGACGCGAGGATGTCGAGCTCCTCCAGGTCATCGGCGGTGAATTCCCCCTGCGCACCGAAGGGGTCTTCGGGATCCGGGGAGGCGGCCACCGGGAAGCCCCGAGCTCGCTTGCTCGGAGGGTATCCGGTGCCGGGCGGTGGGCCAGGGCGAGGTGCCAGGGGCCCGCTCCGCCTCCTGCTGCCTGGCCCGGGTGTCCCAGCCATATCTCCTTTGGGCCCCAAGCGTCCGAGGGCGCTGATCCCAACACAGTGAAATTGAAGCCTTAGCAGGACCAACCGCCCGCGCGCCGCCGCTCGCCTCAGCTAGTGCCCCGCCCCCGAGTCCAAGGGCCAATTAGCAGCCAGCCGCCAGGCGCCGAGAAATGACATACAATAGGCGCGCGCGCCGCAGCGCTCAGCCAGGCCCCTGACCATCTGGCTCCGCCCCGCTCGGGCTGGCGCCTAGCGCTAGTGGCTGGCTTCGCTAGTCGGCGGTAGGACTCGGAGCGGCGCTATTAGAGTTACCCCGAGCGCGGGTCTGACAAGCATCTGTCCGCTCTCACTTATGGCTCCGAGGCCCCTCCCTGCGTTGTGTGGAATAGAGAGTCGTGCAGGATCAGTTTGGCTTCACATTCGCACGTGTGCCCTTGAATCGAGGCAGGTAGCTTCAAGGGATCTAGTCTCTTTTACCTCACTTTTTTACTTTTACCTCGCTTGACATACCTCTCACTTACCAGGAGACTCCCTAAGGGAGTTGAGGGCGGAAGAGCGGGGTTGAGGGCGGAGTATGCGTGGAGCTGTTGTGAGCAGGGATCTTCTAGAATAAGTAAATGTTTCAAATGTTTGCATTTGCATTTCCTCTGGGGAGGTCTCAGGAGCAGGAAAGGTCTGAGGTGAAAAAGGATCCTGAGGAATATTGTGCTGGTGTTGGAGGGAATGAGAATTGCTCAGACTGTTAACATTCATTCATGCCTCTGGGAGTACAATAGTGTTTTTGTGCCAAGCGCTGGTTGTATAGAGGTGAATGAGGCTCAGGAGGTAAAGACTTTCCCTTCCCGGAAATGTCCTCTAGATTTTCCTACAGGTTGAGTGGAAGTTAGCCAGAAAAATATGTAGGAGGCTGTAGCACAGGGTTTATTCAGACAAGAATTTAACATGGAAAGCCAGATAATAAGTTATCTATGGCAAAAATGGATAAATACCCCTGGGTGCAATCTGTGGTAAAACAAAACAAAAACAAAACAAAAAAACTACACCTTTTTATAGAAGGTAAAGCTTCACAAAGGAGCACGAATTTGAGCCGGGTTTGAGTGCCTGCCAGGATTTTATTGAGCAGCAGTGGTGTGCAGAACAGCTAGCAGCAATTAGGCATTGGTATTGGAGAGCAACTTTTTTCAATCTTGACTTTTTCAATCAAGACTTTTTTCATTCTTGCATGCTCAGTGAGTAGCCCATGAATGTTTGCCAAAACATTACATGAAAGATTAAATGAAAAGGGAGATGTCAGGGCCTAGAATGCCTAAAAATTCAGTCTTTTAAAGCAACTGGTAGATTCCTTCAGATAGCTGCCCAAATGTTGAGTGGTTGTCTTAATTGCTGCATGCCTCTGGTCCTGGAAACAGAATCGTTCTTTTGGTGGAAGGGATTGGTTGACCAAATAAAAGAGCAGTAACTTCCTTTTAGGGCAATGCACTCAGAATGGTGGTTTACAGCAGCACAGGGCTTGGCAAGGCCCCATGAGTAATGCCTAAAACCCAAAGAAGGTACTGCTAACTGCAACTTTCTGGAGGACCCAAACTGGTGTTTTTTCCCCCCCTATTAATATCATGTTCATTGTAGTCATAAAACAGTTTCAGTCTACCAAAACCTTTTCTAGGGTTGGGTGTGATGGCATACACCTATAATCTCAGCAACTTGGGAGGCTGAGGCAGGGGTATCACAAATTCAAAGCCAGCCTCAACAGTGAGACCCTAAGCAATTTTTCCAGACCCTGTCTCAAGTGAAAAAGCAAAAAAATGGGCTGGGAATGTGTGTCAATGGATAAGTGCCTCTGGGTTCAATCCCTGTTAACAAAACCAAAAAAAACTTTTTATAGTTCTGATTTCAATGATTTGAAAGTCCTTTTAAAATACAAAGCTTATCATTATTCCCAAGTTCTATCAAGGCCTGGAGAGGAAATCAAACTGGTGGCTCTTAACCAAATGTTTCAATAAATATATATGTAGGGTGTGGCCATGCATGTGTGTAATCTCAGCTACTTGGGAGCTGAGGCAGTTGGATGGCAAATTCGAGGCCAACCTGAGCATTAAAAAGAGCCAACTTAGAATAAAATAATTAAAAAGGGCTGGGGATGTACTTTGGTGGTGGAGAACTTGCCCATGTGAGAGGTCCTGGGCATTCCACTGAATATACATCACATGATAACAGCCTTTCAGATGAACTTGTTTAATTCCGGGTGATACAGAATTCAAACTCTGGCAAGATTCTAGGATGGGTCTACTTTAAATTCACAGCTGAGGTAGGAATGCCTGAATGAAACTAAAGAGACAATGAGCCACTTGTTGTGTATTATTATTATTATTTTACAAAAGTTTATTAAATTTACAACAGACTCCAACATAACACTTCATTCTAGCTATAGGTGGCAAAAGATGTTACAGCGGGGATCCAGATGTCTAAATAGGAATGGAATCAACGGTCACCATCATTTCAGGCACAAGAATCGGCTTACTTTTTGCCAGATTTCTTAATTCCACCTGTGGCTACAAAAGGAAAAGTCACAGTTAAGGAAAAACATATTTCTTATGGCAAAAATCCCAATGAGCTTAATGTATATTCCAGTAAAGCTTAACTCTTACCCTGGGAATTCACTCTCACATAAGTGTGCACAGTGGCTTTACTGATACCATCTATTCTGAGCAAAGGCAGAATGATGTTAAGGCAGGGGCCCAAGCAATAGCTGTGTACTTTTCTGCATCCACAATATCATATACTTCACAGATTAGCTCATAATCCTCTTGCCATGCATCCCACTTTACAGATAGTCTTTATATTTGGTGTTGTTCAAGGTTTTAAACTGTAATGTGACAAACCAGAATTCCAACCTCGGTAGTCTGATTTCTAGATCCATACTTAACTGCCACATTATACTACACTCCATTCCATATTATGTTCCTGGGGCCTGGTTTACTCAATGATTTTATTTTACCCAATTAACAAATGATAATACATTTGGCAACCTGTAGGTAATTTTAGCAATAACTGTAGAATTAATTCCTGATACCAGAATGAAGATATAAAAGGATTCTGACAAAATGAGTCTTAAAAAAGTTACATGATTCCCTTTGTGTATAATGAAATGAAATGCATTCTGCTATCATGTAACTAATTAGAAAAAAAAGATGTTGGGCTGGGGTTGTGGCTCAGTGGTAGTGCTTGCCTAGCATGCTTGAGGCACTGAGTTTGATCCTCAGCACCACATAAATGTAAAATAAAGATATTGTGTCCACTTAAAACTAAAAAATAAATATTAAAGAAAAGAAAAAAAGATGTTAAAAAAAAAAAAGTCAGATGATGCTCTACGAGAAACAAATAGTACTGGTTGAGTATCCTGTATCTGAAACGATTGGGGACCACAAGTTTTTTTTTTTACTAGACCAGAGATTAAACCCAGGGGCTGGGACACATCCCCAACCCTTTTCTTATTTTGAGACAGGGTCCCATTAAGTTGCTGAGACTGTGCTTGAACTTGAGATCTTCCTGTCTCAGCCTCCTGGCTGCTGGGATTACAGGCATATGCTACCACACCTGGCAGTGTTTTGGATTTTTTTTTTTTTTTTGGTATCAGGGATTAAACCCAGGGGTGCTTAACCACTGAGCCACATCCTCAGCCATTTTTATATTTTATTTAGAGACAGGGTCATGCTAAGTTGCTGAGGCTGGCTTTGAACTTGTGATCCTCCTGCATCAGCTTCTTGAGCTACTGGGATTATAGGCATGCACCACTGTGCCCAGTGGATTTTTGAATATTTACATATACATAATAAAATATTTTGGGGGATGGGACCCAAGTTGTAAATCCCAGAAATTCTAAAGGCTGAGACAGGAGCATTGCAAGTTCAAAGTTAGCCTTGGCAATTTAGCAAGATCCTACCAAAAAAAAAAAGAGATATAGTTTAGTGGTAAGTTCAATTCTCAGTACCAAAACAAACACAAAATCCATTAATGTTTCGCTCCGCATATCCTTATATACATAGCTGAAGGTAATTTTATTATGTTTAGTGCATCTGCATTTTGACTCCAAGCCACCACACGAGGCCAGGTGTGGAATTTTCAAAACATTTCAGATTTTGGAGCATTTTGGATTTTCAGGTAAGGGATGCTCAATCTGTACAGGGTTTTGCTAAGGACTTACCTTCTCCCTATATACAGTTGCAAATTAAGGGAAGGTGCAAGGTACCTGATATAATTCTGAAAACAGCTTTTAGTAGGCCCTGGCCAGTTGCAGTGGTGCAGGCCTTAACTCCAATGACTCAGAAAGTACAGGCAGGAGGATCACAAGTTCAAGGCCAGCCTCAGCAATTTATTGAGACCCAGTCTCAAAATAAAAAGAATTGGGGAAGTAGTTCAGCCATAAAGTACCCCTGGGCTCAATTCACAGTATATTACCCTCCAACTAGCACACAGTACTAGGACAGCAAGTAAAATGTAATCCATTCCTCTCACAAGAAGGAAAAGAGAAAAAATGGTGGGGGGGTTAGACTAGAAAAGCACATGGAACAATAGCACTCTAAGGAACCTGGACTATAGTCTAGGCACACCTAGTAGTAACTCAAAATGAGGAATCATTTATTATAAATAATATGAGCAGTAAGTAAAAGTTATTAGTTGAGTAGTGTTACAAAGAATAAATAAACTAGGTGTGGTGGCTCATGTCCGATAGCAGCTACTTAAGGGGTTGAGGCAGAAGGATCACAAGTTTTGAGTTCAGAATGAGCAACTTATGGGCTGGGGATGTGGCTCAGTAGGGCTTGCCTGGCATGCGTGCATCCCGGTTCCATGCTCAGCACCACATACAAACAAAGATGTTGTGTCCGCCGAAAACTAAAAAATAAATATTAAAAAATTCTCTCTCTTAAAAAAAAAAAAAAAAAGAATGAGAAATTAGGCAGACCCTGTCTCAAAATAAAATTTAAAAGGCTGGGTATGTACTTCAGTGGTAGAATACCCCTGGATTCAGTCCCCAGTACCAAGAAACACAACATAACACAACAAAATCAATAAGCAGTTAGTTACAAATTTGGGGCAAGAAAGCATGGAAGAAAAATATCCATAAACCTAACCATATAAATTTGTGCCTGGGGTAAATTTCTGCAGCTTTCTTAGGAATGAAAGCCCAAGACTGCCTGGAAGGTAAGATTTCTTTTCAGATAAGGGATACTTAATTTGTACAGGGTTTTGCTAAGGGTTTACCTTCTCCAGTTCTGGCTTGCATTCAAATCCAAGATTGGCTAGAGCGATCCGCCGGGGCGGACACCAGGAACTGAGACCTCGCAGCTCACCAATGATACAGGGAACATCTCGGCCCTCATCCCTAAAGATGCTCAAAGTATGTGTCCGATTTGAGCGCCCCTCGGTCCTCACTTACCCAGGGGGCCCTTCCCCGCGGCCTTCGCTTTTAGCTCCTCAAGTTTCTTCTGCTCCTCTTTTTGTTTCTGTTTGAAAGCCTTATCTTCCTAGAGAGAAGCACAAGTTTCACTCCAGGCAAGTCTCCCAGTCCCTCCGCACGCCCGCTCCGACCGCGCCTCCGAGCCCGCTCTCACCTCATCCATCTCCTTGGCCTGCTTCTTAGGTTGTTTCAGGGGCTTCTTCTTGCCACCTGTAGGCGACAGGAGCACGGTCAGCCCGTCCCCGCCGCCGGGCCCTTCCCAGCCGTTCAGCACCTCCCCGCGGTCCCCGCAATCCGAACACACTTACCTTCCCGGCCGGACATGGCGCCTGCCGCCCCTACCCTAGACCTTGCTCCTAAACCGGAAACGGAGATCCGAGTCCCGCCTCCTGTTCGTATACCGCGTTGCGGGCCCGTTGATTGGGTCCTAGTCAGGAAGTTGCCCTCCCGCTACAGGATGCGGCTCTCCAGGGGCAGGCGCTAAAGGGTCAGAGGTCAACTGAATGGCAGATGCTTTGTCGGAGTTACAGCTCCGGTGCTCCTGACTAGGTGTACCAGGTACAAGTGGGAAGGGTCGTTTCCCCAGGGGTCTCCGGAACTGTGGGAAGGGTACCTGACCTGAATGCGCCGGGCCTGCAATTGCGTGCACCGGAAAAAAGAGGATTGCGGGTAGAGGGGAGTGCAAGTGCCAGGAGCTTTTCTTGAATTCAGAAAGTAATTACTGAAGGGAGATAGGAAGATGGCAGAAGTGGGAGGGCTCTAAGTCACCAGATCCTACAACTTTGGAAGTCATTGGAAGGAGTTTGGTTTTTATAAGATAATCAGGAGTGCACTTGTTTGTGAATTCTGTTTATTCATCCATTGCACTTTTGTTGAGTATGTACTATATTTAGATAGTATATTAGGCTCTGGAGATTCAGCAGTGAACAATACTTCTTGTGCTGGTGTAGCTTAAATTCAACTGAGACAGATTATAAACAAAGTGTAAAAGTGAAATACATATCAGAGTTCATGAGGTGTTTTAGGAGAAAAAGAGGGAAAGTGGGTATTGAGTACTGGGATAAGAGTGGATGGCCATTGCTGATAGGGTGGACACAAAAAGACCTCCCCAGGAATTCATATTTGAGCAAAACTTAAAGCCAGAGAGCAAGCAGTGCTGACCATGATCACTGGTCACTTAAGGATTGGAAAACCTTTAGGAGGAACAGTCTAGTGTGTTCTAGCATCATGAAGGTCCATGTGACTGGAGCAGAGTGAGGAAAGGGAGAATAATAGAAAATGAGGTCTGAGAGGTATGGGAGCTTGGGGCTCCATCCCCTGTAGGCTGTGGAAAAGACTGACTTTTACTTTGTGAGAAAAGATTTGAGGATTTGAGCAGAGACATGGTCTCACCAGTGTTTTGAGAGGAACACTGGCTGCTCTGTTGACAGTAGTCTATTAGAGCTAGAGTAGGGAAACCTGTCAAGAGGCTCTTGGGATAATCCAGGAAAGGGATGTTGGTCATTGGGACCATTTGGTAGCACTAGCAGAGATGAAAGGAGGAGTGATCCTAGTGGACATTTGCTGATCAATTAGATGTCAGGGTAGGAGAGAAAGTACGGGGTTTTGGAGGATGTGAGGTTTTCAGCCTCAGCATTTGGACTTGAAGTTGCCATCAACTAAGATGGAGAAGGTTATGGGAAAAGCAGGTTTGGGAGGCTTTATGGTTTGTATCTGGAATGTCCCCACAAAACACATGTGTTGAAGGAATGCAGCAATGTCCAGAGGTAGGGCTTTTAGAAAATGATTGGATCGGGAGAGCTCTAACCTCATCAGTAGATCCATCCATTTGATGGATTAATAATTTGAATGGACTACTGGGAGGAGGTAGAAATTGTAGGCAGGTAGGGCATGATCAGAGGAAGTAGATCACCAGGGATATGCTCTTGGAGACTATATCTTATCCTTGGTCCTTCTTCCCTGTCTGCTTTCTGGTTGTCATGAGCTGAGCAGCTTTCCTCCACCATGTCCTTGCCATGATGTTCTGCTTCACTTTAGGCTCAAAGCAATGAAACTAGCCAACCATGGACTGAAACTCCTGGAAATATGAACCAAAATAAATCTTTCCTCCTCTAAGTTGTTCTGGTCAGGTATTTTTGTCACAGCCAGGAAAAATTGATCAAACCAAAATAGAGGGGAAGATAAGATTTACCATTAGATTTTATTTTTTTGTGGTGCTTGGTATCAAACCCAGGGTCTTGGGGCACACAGGTGCTTAACCACTAAGCTACATTCCCTTCCGACCCTGTTAGTTTTTAAGCAAAGATAAGGGTTGGGCAGTTTGATAAATAAGCCTGAATCCTGAGGAGAAGTCTGTATAGTTTTAATTTTTGTGTTTGAGGTGCTAGAGATTGAGCCCATCATTCTAGGCAAATGTTCTACCAATGAGCTGTACTTCAATTAAAGCACTCTCTCTCTTTTTTAAATAACAGCTTTATTCATATATAATTTATCGTACAATTCAATTAACCTACTTAACATATACAGTCCGTAGATTTTAGTATAATCAGAGATGTGCAGACATTACCGCAATAATTTTTAAAAGCGTTTTCATCCGTGTGTGTGTGTGTGTGTGTGTGTGTTTTAAATATTCTTCAATTGGTGTTGGACATAATACCTTTATCTATCTATCTATCTATCTATCTGTCTATTTATTTATTTTTATGTGGTGCTGAGCCTCGTACATGCTGAGTGTTCTACCACTGAGCCACAACCTATATATATTTTTTTAGTTATAGGTGGACATAATACCTTTATTTTATTTTTATGTGGTACTGAGGATCGAAACCAGTGCCTCAAGCATGCTAGGCAAGCACTCTACCACAAAGCCACAACCCTAGCCCCCCCCCCCCCTTTTTTTTTTAAAATAGTGCTGGTTGTTGAGCACAAGGTCTTGGACATTCTAGGTAAGCACTCTGCCACTTCACTGCACTTCAGCTCTGTTGCATTGTTTTTTTTTAATACTCACTTGACAATTTTGTTGGAAGAACATATTTGCCACTAACATCAAGTACTTATTTGTTCTCGTTATAATCAATAATAACAATTGCTACCACTTCTCATTTTGTTCTGCCAGGTATAGGTCTAACAGATTTAATTTAATCCTTTAAAACACCTTGGGTGTGTGGTAATTTGTCATCTAAATAGGGCTACTAATGTTCTGTAAGTACAATGAATCAAGATCTAACATTATTTATTCCATAGGCATAATTTCATTAGTATTAATTCTTTTTTAAAAGTAGTTATACATAGTGGAAAAATATGGAATGCTTCATGAATTTGTGTGTAATCCTTTGCAGGGGCCATGCTAATCTTCTCTGTATCATTGCAATTTTATGCTGCTGAAGTGAGCACCCAGTACCATAGCATTTTTTTTTTTGTTATTTTGGTACCAAGGATTGAACCCAGAGGTGCTTAACCACTGAGCAACATCCCCAGCCCTTTTTATTTTTTATTTCGAAACAGGATCTTGCTAAATTGTTGGTTTTAAACTTGTGGTCCTCCTGCCTCAGCCTCCTAAGCCACTGGGTTTATAGGTATGCGCCATTATGTACCCAGCATTTAAAAATACTGTATTAGAAGTCTGAGCCCTGAGCCCTGAGGCAAGTGTTTAGAGGTTAGGGAGATGAGTGGGGGATTCGGAGCCAAGTGAAAGTGGCATTTGAAGGAAGAAAGTTGCTATCATGAGGCACAGATTTCTGATAGGGCAAATGAGATGAGCACTGAAAGCTTGTCATTGGATTTAGTAGTGTGGTGATCCAGACAAGTACAGTTCCAGTGGCATGGTGGGTATGAAGGCCAGAGCAGACAGGGTTTGTGAGAGAACAGGAGGCAAACAAGTGGAGACGGTGAGTTCAGGCAATCTGTGGAAGAGTCTGATGTGAAGAACATAGAAATGGGGCAGTTGCTGAAGGGGGTGCCACATCAGTTGTTGAGCAGTATCTGAGGAAGGAGAGGAAATGGGACCTGGGGCATGCATTGGTCTTCCCTAGAAGCATAGATTCTTTATCCTGAGAATCAAGAGAGATGGGGAGTCCATTCTATAAACTTAACTTTTCATTTTTTTTTTCCTTTTATTGTGATGCTGGGACATCAAACTTTGGGCTTCAAGCATGCTCAGCAAGTGCTCTACTACTGAGCTACACTTCTAGCCCATATCGTTTTATGTTTTTGATAGTGTCGTCATCTTTTTTTTTTTTTTGGTTGTGAGGATTGAACCCCAGGGCACTTAATTACTGAGCCACATCCCTACCCCTTTTTTATATTTTATTTTGAGACAGGGTTTCATTAAATTGCTTAGGGCCTTGCTAAGTTGCTGAGGCTGGCTTTGAATCCTCCTATCTTAGTCTCCCGAGCTGCTAGGATTACAGGCATGCACTACCACGCCTGGCTTTGATAGTGTATTTTTTTGGAAAAAATATTTTCTGTTAGTTGTTGATGGATCTTTACTTAATTATTTTATTTATGTGTGGTGCTGAGAATTGAACCTAGTGCCTTATACATCTACCACTGTGCCACAATCCTAGCCCTGATACTCTCTTTTGAATCACAAAAGTGTTTCATTTGGTAGGGTCCAGTTCTCTCTCTTTCTCTCTCTCTCTCTTTTTTTAAATCTGTTTTTTTTTTTTTTTTAACTTTTGTTTATTGTGCTTTTGGTATCACATCTAAGAAGTCACTGCTTATTTTCTTCTAAGATTTTTGTAGTTTGATATCTTACATTAAGGATTTTGATACATTTCAAGTTAATTTTTGTATATAGTGTGACATACAAGTCTAAATTAATTCTTTTGCAGTTACTCCAACACCATTTTTTTAATATTTATTTTTTTAATTTTTGGTGGACACAATATCTTTATTTGTTTATGTGGTGCTGAGGATCGAACCCAGTGCCTCATGCATGCTACGCAGGCGCTCTACCACTGAGCCCCAGCCTCAGCCCCTCCAACACCATTTTTGCCAGGGAGTACTGGGCCCAGTGGTGCTTTATCATTGAGCCACATTCCCAGGCTTTTTTATTTTTTTGACAAAAGGTAAGTTGCTGAGGCTGACCTTGAATTTGTGATCCTCCTGCCATAGTCAGTTGCTGGGATTACAGGTGTGGGCCTCCTTTCCTAGCCCAACACCATTTTTTTTTTTTTTTTAATATATATATGTGTGTGTGGTGCTGAGGATTGAACCCAGGACCTTGTGCATATGAGGCAGGCACTCTATTGACTGAGCTACCCAGCCCCCAACACCATTTTGAAATTTCTCTGTTGAATTATTACAGTATGGTCATCAAAAAGCAATTGCCCAATCAGGTGTGGTAGTATATGCCTGTAAAACAACTAAGGCAGGAGGATCATC